TTTTTTTTTTTTTTTTTTTTTTTTTTTTTTTTTGTAAGTATTCAGCATTTTTTGAGCATCTTTTGCCGACAGATAATCTCCCAAAATTTCGATAACTGTCTTTAACAGCTGTTCATTCAACCTAACAGAATTTTGGAGAAGGGGGCCAATAGTGAATTTTGCTGTTAATATTAGCAATTCTAAAAATTTTTTTCTCTTTTATTTGTTTAGGTATTTTTTCTGCAATATTACTTTTATGTCGAGGAGACGGTCCACTTTTAAAAAGTTTTTATTTTTTTGAATTTTGTACCTGATCGCAGGAAGCTTCTGTTCACAATTTTTGCGGTTTTGAAATTCTGGTTCAAGAGCGGAGTAATTGGTATAAATTGCAAAGTTCAAATTCAGTTCTGAATTTTTAGATAAACTCATTAATCATTCGCCAGTCAAGAATATATTGTGTTGTTAGAATCATCCATAATTTTTTTTCTGCAGTTCTACAAATAAGCTCTTCTGGTTCTAACAGTGCCTACGAGAAAAATTGTCAAAAAAGCTAATAGCTCGAAAAATTTTTAAAAAAAAAGAGCAAAACGTGGAAATTTGTGGAACACGAAAGCGAAACTACTCGAGTTAAACACCGTTCTATTATAAATAATGCTGCAAATATTAGGCCGAGCATTCTCTGCAAAACAGTCATCTACATCAAATACATTGTAACTTCTGCCACTTTTTTTTTCACAGAGTTAAAATAAGATAGGCCCCTAAATAATACAAGATATGACTGTTCGAATATTATCCATCAACATAAATTTATGATAAGTGTTTAAATAAATACTTATTGATTTCTATGTTTATTTCTATCACTCAAGAAATCAAAGTTTGAAAGCACTAAAAAAGATTTTTTTGCTGCTTGACTTAGAGTTTAATCATTTAACTTTCAATCTTGCTGCATGAGGAACTAATAACAAGATGAAACTATTTGTTAAAGAAATTTAAAACACTCTTTCTAAAGAACTGTGCTGTGGTCTCCAAGAATTTGTCATACTTTTACAACTGTATAACCGCTATACCAGTACTCTGCTAGATATAAAGACAACCACAGATTAACATAAGAGTTTTCAGTCTTTAGCCCGTAGTTGATTTAGAAGATCGTTAATTAAAATAAGCATCAGATTTGAAAATTTTAAAAAAGTGTCAAAATTTTTTGTTCATATTCAATTTTTCATGTAGAAATTCTTCACAGTTAATGTAAAAAAAATTTTTTCAAAGAGCAGACTTTTTACTGCTTGTTTTTGTTACAAAACTAGATGAACCTAACAATGACCAAATCTAAAAGCTGTCAATTCTGATGACTTGAAAGCTCTGGGAAGATAGATCCCGGTAACGCAGCGTGCCTGCACTGAGCTCCATGTTGTGAATGAGCTCTTTTTCATTAACGATCGTTTTACATATAGCCGCAATATTCTGCACTGTTTTGCAGTTACTCGAGGAACATTAACAACGATAGTTTTATAGCTGTAATGCTAATTTTTTTGTAACACGAAATGTCTTTCAGCCAAGTAAAATAGAAATTTATATTTTTTGTCAAATTTTTAATAATTTATTGTCAAGGATCGTCTAATAAGGTTTACGGTTGTCCAGAAAAGCGTGTAGCATATGCAAAGCAACAGCAGGTTTGTCGGTTGGAACCATATGCCCGGAACCCTTAAAAAAATGCTTTATAGCTTTAACGTTTCAAGCGTAAGTTGACAGGAAAAAAATGAAAACGTATTATTGGTTCAAAAACTTGAAGCAACCTTCAAATCTTTTTCTGCTTATTTAAGACAAATCTTTACGTCTTCATTGTCACTAAATTTTCCATTTTTTGGCATTTATTTGAACAGCTTCTGTTAGTTAAAAATTTAATTCAATTACCAATTTTCAATATATTTTTTTTCTCACCCATCCATGCAAAAAATAGACTGTGAAACAATAAAATAACCGAGGCTTAAATGGTAAAATATTTACAGGAATCGCAATAAATTCGACGTTGCCGTACTGCGTATGATATCCAGCCGCTTGATTGTTAACGTAGAACACTCGTTTCGCAGATGTCATCTGTTATGTACTTAGAAATTAAATTACTAAAGTGCAAATATAAAAATTACCTTTCAGAAGAAGTTATTTTTATTTTTCAGGTATAATCACAAGACTGAAAATGTTGTCAAAATTTTTTTTCTGCAGTGAATTATCAGTTATATTGCTATACAACGATTATCTGTTCCGTTTGTCACTGTCTACTTCAGAACCTTGTTTTTTGAAAAGTACTATAAATTAATTGCAAAAATTACGCTAGTCTGGACATAAAACTTCTAAAATAAATGAATATAATGTTTCTATTTTTCGTTGAAAAGCAGTTGTTCTAGTAATTTCCTCAAAAAACCAAATTTTATTTGAAATTATATATGTAAACCTTATAACCGAGACCGTTGACAAATCTCTGTCCCATGATAAAGTTGCATGCCATATCACCGTCTCCATTGTAGATCAGAACGCGAAGCCCAGCTGAGACGGCATTTTTGACCTGAGAACTCATATCTTGATAGATCATCCGGTATCCATCACCAACAGTATCACTAAATAGTTCTTTGCTTAGTTGAGACCGAACCATGTCCAGAATACAAAAACTTTTTATTAGAAACTCTGATTGAAGCATGCCAGCAATTATAACATAGGAGCCAGGAGGTTACCTACACATTGCCCATCGAAGTGCTTCATCAGGTATAAACAGTGCTGAGCGAACCTCTGGTTGATTTAAGTAAGCCGTACACGCAGTTGTGTTTATGCATGGAACAGAAGATTCCTAGAATAATTGGCATCGCTATTTCAAAGTATAAACTCTGGCATATTACGCATCCGTATAAAACAACAAAGATTTTTTCTTTTCTACTGCATGAATCGTCTCAGCGGTTCTACGCTACTGCTATAATGACTTAAACTCAACCTTTACTCGTGGTTGCTTGCCAAACTTCACTTTTGCATGGTGATAGAAACGCTCATCAGGTGCACAATCAGCAAACATGTTGTATGGGTTAACTCCTCCAAACCTAAAAATCAAGTATTTGGAAAGTTTATTTATCTTTATTCAAAATCTACGCTTTCACGCTAGTTTACGCAGTCTGTTTTTCTTTTCAAAAATGACATACCAGCATAGCTCAGAGGTTTCCTTAACAAAATTTGGGCAAAATCCAAATCCATCGAACGAAAAAAAGTCACAGTTTACAATTTCGCCGTTACAGCATTCTTTAGAAACCTTTTGCCATGTTCTAAATATAAAATTTTTTTTGCTTTTCAGCTCCAGTTATTTATCACCTATAAAAAAGACATAAATCTTAATAAAATGCATCAAAAGCTTTATGCATAACAATTTCTCTTCTTTATTGAAACACTTACTGTTCATCGACTAAGCCATGACCATAGGCGAACTGCATCAAAGTGTTGGTATCCAACTGATAACTCATCTGCCCATTACCAATCGCGAAGCCCTTCAAATGAAAAATAAGAACAATCCTTCTCTTCATAAATTCCGATCCAAAAGCCCTTAACCAGGGGAACAGAATCTTAGCGCATTTTTCATGTTATTACTTTTTTCTTTCTAGGTTCAAATACTTTTTTGCATACGTTTATTAGCCTTCTTAACACACCTTGATATTAAATTGAAATTCGTCTTGATAATCTAGAATTTCCTGTACAAGCGTTGGTACATACATGCCACCATAAGACTCTCCAGTGACGTAAAAATCGTTATTCTGTACAAAAAAAAATGAAGATTATTATTCATAAAAAGTTTTATAATTTTTTTATTAGATCTTCTACTTGAGTCAATTCTTTTCTCAAATAGCATTACTAGCTATATAACTGTAAAGATGATAGTAAAATTTCTTTAAGCAGAAAATACAATTTCTTCTCAGGAAGTTGACGTATTAAAAGAATACTTTAAAGTTTGGAAATTGTTTGAAAAACTCGACTAACGCCAGGCGATTCAGTCGAGCAACTTTTGCATCATCAGTGGCGTAATTGCCTGATTTAGAGTAAGAGAACCTGTAAGTTCTTGAATTATGCTAGCAAAACAACCGCAGAGTTCTTCTCAAAGACATTCTACAAGGATTTTTGCAATAATTTTCTTTTTGAAGAAAAAAGTCTCGTTAAGAGAAAGACTAATAACTCTTCTATTCAGTAATCATCTAGTAAACTACTGACCCAACTCCAGAGGGAGATTCTAGAAAGACTATATTAGCTCGTGTATTCCACGAGTATTTGTTTTCTGCTAAAGTTTTCCCATCTGATAGAATATTGTACGGCCCATTTTCAGTCAACAGTGCAGATAGACTGGAGCAACCTGGTCCACCAGTTAACCATAATAACATAGGATCTTTAGCTGGATTGTTTTGAGACTCAGCAAACCTTAAATAGCAACGTAGAATTTGATGCGGAATTATTCTATACAATATAAAAGAAAAAACAGTCAAAAAGAAATTAACTTTTGATTGTCGAACTACTGCAGAAAAAAAGCGCTTTTACCAGTAATGTAGATGAGTGTCGTCAACGTCGACATATCCGGAGTACTGCTTGAAGCGATTAGACACAGTAGCGCCGGGGAGAGACTTTATTTGTTCGGCTCTAGCAACCAAAGGTGTTAAAAGCAGCAGCCAAATGAAGAAATTCATTTTTTCAGTTACAACCGTAAATTGTAACTGTTGCCTGTTGTTTGCTCAATTTCAGTGTCTGACGAGTACGTTTAGTGTTTCTGTGTTGGGAGAGTGCTGATAACAATGTGTCTACTAATATTGTATATCTAAAGAATTTTAGCTGCAAAGCTGCACTTTCTTTTATCATCAGCAACCACCTACAACTAACTCTAATAGTTCTAGCAGAAACTAGCACAAATTTTTTGAAGTAGTGTTGGAAAGTGCCGAATTTTTATGATTTTCTGACAAATTCCTCTGTATGAGAGGAAAACCGTACACAGAAAGCAGTCATAGAGTTTACTAGCTGAGTAAAAAGTTTGCTCTATATTGTTTTTTTTTTGTAGAAATTAAAATACATTATAATTCTGAAAAGTTTTGCACCTCTTAAGCTTTCCACTGGCAGCTGATGAGGCACTTAAATTCACTGTGTCTGCAAAAAAAAAAGGAACAGAACAGTGGAATTTGGTTGTAATTGCGTAGCATTGACTGAAACGATATCTTTTTGTGAATTTATAAACCGTCAGATTTCCTCTATGAAATTGTAGACTGCACAATATTTTGCTAATAGCCAAATTTAGAATTTTTAAATACACTATGAATTTTATGTTCAGTAGGTTGGTTTTTTAGTAACATAAGTTGTTTTTAAATTTTCAAATAAATAAAACTTTTTATACTAAAATTTTGCATACAGTATACTGAATGACTGTAGACTTATCAATACAAAATTTTTCTAACTTGCAGTGAAGAGATTGCTTTTAGCAAAGTCTGTTACCCACTTTCTGTGACGTAATCAGATTTTATAATTCTTGGCAAACTGATTGCTGCTGCCATCTCACCGATTGGTAGTTCACTGTTTAGCTCTAGTAGTGTGATTCTTTTTTAATAAAGAAAATTTAAGGTAGGGAAATTTTTTAAACAGTTTATATATATTTGGAAGCCTATAGAAGATCTTATGAGAAAAATAAACACTTGTGATTCTTCGTATCAAATACAATCTACTTAGACTTTGATATGTTGTGGTCTGATCAGCAGTGTTCACTAATTGGGAATTGCGGCAATTCATTACAGTTGATTTTAAACAACTTTTTATCCAAAACCTCACTGCTCATTTAATCAAAGCAATATTTACGTTTCGAACATTAAGAATGCTGTTCTTAGATCACTGAAATGAGCTTCATTGGTGTCTATAGCTGGAAGCAACCAGAAAACCTAGATAGCGTTTAAAAAATGAAATTTGCCTCTCGACTTGCTAAAGTTTTTATCACAAAAATAGTACACTGGTTATTATGACTTGAAATGGAAACGTTTTGAACTCTTTATTTTAAACCTCACTACCTGCTTTAAATAAAGACTCTAAAATTGAGTAAAGGTTTCTCAAAAGGCTAAGTGACCAAAGCATAATGTCGTTAAAAATAATTTTAAGTTTATTTATGGCTTTCTTACATGTCAAATAAATCAATGTTGAATGAGTCGAGTATGGTAAATAACAACGCTATCAGAAAGATGAAAAATTGTTGGCTGTACCGCTGCGGTTAAACACAGAATACAGATATTAATGACAGCATTTTCCCTGTACTGATAATTTTTCAGTGTCTTTGAATTATAAGTAAAAGAATGTTTTATTTCTATAAAATTTTAAGTTTAAAATGAAACTGAAAGAATTTTTTTGTTAACGATACGTATTGCAGACATAATTAAAAGTAAATTTTTGGAAAATAACTTCTCTTAAAATTGTTGTTATAAAAAAGACAAGCTTGATTACTGCTACAAGGTAAAAACTGCTGACCACACTTTTAGCAATAATATAAGAAAAATTTTTTTGCTTACTCAAATTCTCGAAAGAGCTTGTCAAAATTTTTTTTCTGCACTTTTTATCAAACTGAGAACTGCATTACTACTAGCTATCAAAGGTGTATATGTTACCTTCACATATAAAACTACTATTAAACAAGCTAAATACAAAAACGACAAAAGCAAGACTTCGGAAACGCTTACAAAACTTTCATATTTGTGTGACATATAACGAAAATAATGATTAGAAGAATATGATATGATAGGAAAGGTTTGGTTTTTGTCAAGTAAAGCCTTTGATCGAATTCCTCTTCTAGACTACTACTTGTCAAGCCTATTTACCGCCTGTACTTGTTCTTTGATATTTTACCCCAAACTTCTCGAACTACTGTTATAATTTCAAAGCTTTTTCAGTTTCGTGGCTCTAATTTTTTTACATTTAAGAGATTCAACTCTGTTGTCTCTCAGCTATCTGATAGTATGAAATAAGGTGTGTTTTGAACCGTTATCCTGCTGCAGAATCCAGTTCTCAGAAATTGTCTTCGCTTTGTATGAGGAGAAGAGATCAACTGAGATGTCGACAGACTTGCTGTAGTGGAGGATCCATCTATTTTTCTTCTAACGAAAGCTGTACTATTACTACCTCTTAAAGTGGATTTAGGCTTATCAGTAAAGGTTTTAAAGATCACTGTTGTTGATAAACTTGGTTCCTGGTAGATTGCAGTTGAAAACTTTTTGTTTTGCGAGTTATATTCTTCAATAACATGCTTATAAATTGCAACTTTTCCAGCAAAACAAAAGAACAGTTACAACATATTACTCTTTCCATTTCTATTTTGGTCATCTGTTTTAAAATCGCGGCTGGCAGTGTATATCAATTTCTGACCAGAGAACTGGAGACATGACTTTTTTACAGTTTTTTTATCTCTTAGCTTTTACGTAAATGTTGATAAGCATGAACTTTTGAAAAAGCGTTGCATTTTAGTTGCTCAGCTAATAAATTTATGAATTATTGCTCCCATACCGTCACTGGGAGGCAGATTCGTTTAAAATTTAGACTAGTTCTAAACGATGTTTTTTATAAATAGAATTTGTTTAAGCCATCACAGGGTAATATGTTGTCACCTTTATTTCGATATTTAAACGCATTAGCAGTTTGAAGGCAGACAGATCTAGTTAACCTAAACACCAGTCTTCTGAAATGTTTTCTTTTCTATAAGTCACCAGCAGTTTGTTGTAAGTCAAAGTCTATTTGCTGCATCAAGCAAAAAATTACATCAGATACATTATAATTTTTGATACATCTGACAAAAGTAGATGCTAAAAAACACGTGAGTTGCAGAAAACCACAACCACTTGTATTTCATGGTTTAGCCTTTTTGGCTGGTGAAAATTGTCTGATTTCTTAATGCAGAACCCCTTTTTGGCTGTCACTGTAACGGATGGAAAAGTGATGAAAGTTGAAAAATGAGGCTAGAACAGTTTAACTAAAACCGTTTTGCTGTAGAGATCTTCATAAGAAGAAAAAAAAAAAGATTTTTCAACATACATCGGTAAAAAATAGCGAATAAAGTGCATATAATTGGCTAAGAAACAGTTCCAAGAAATCAAAAGAACAGGTTATGACGTCTAACCAAAACTATTTATATATGGGCACATATTCTTCCAATACAACAACACCTTCACTAGCCGGTCGTCAAGAAGAATATGTCGCATTTGAAACTTTTCATCATTCTCGCAGCTCTTCTCTTTATCAGCATTTTTGCCGAACAGGAAAACGCTAATGGCAAAACCTTGTAAGTTCTTTTCTCACTTGGTTTTTCAGAACTTTCATAAACTACTAAAATTTACTTCTGAGATAAGAAAAAAGATAGGAGAGATTGATTAAATACTCAATTCCAAGTTCCCTGCTAATTTCTTCCTGTTACTACTAGAAAATCCCTAATTGCAGTTTTTTTAGAAGCAGGTTGACAAGCAACTTTCACCAGAATAGTCACTAAAAAAAAATAGTGAAAATATTGTTGCTTAATTGTTGTCAGAATATTTGTTAAATTACCTTTTATTCAATAACTTTTGCAAGTAGGAGACCTTAGAGCACTCTATATATATGTCCGTTGCAGAAAACTTTTTAAGTCAAGTTTGATGAGTTTATCTTTGTAACAGTGGAATAGAACAATCGTTTTGATATATCAATTATTCAGTATCCGAGCGAAAAGATTTCCACCTTATGGTTATGGAAGAGGCTCTTATGGCAGAAGACCATTTGGATATAGATACGGCCGTCCTGTCGGGTACGGAAACAGACCACTTGCAGTAATGTATGGTTAAGTATACAATTAACTAAATGCGAAGAAGCCATGAATTGAGAATCCGCAGATGTCAAAGCAGGCCTTATTTGACAAAAATCTTACAACTTCACCCGTCAAATTGCTCTCTAAAAGCCGATATTTTCTAATTGTTGTTGTTACACTTCAGAACCTTGTTGACATTACTAAACTTTTCTGTACTTAAAAATGTTGATGTTTCAGAGTGATATATTATAAAGAGACGTCTAACAATAGTTTAAAAGCACTTTAGCGTTTTTTGCTTTCCAATTTTGCTTCAAAACGGAAAATACACCAGATAAAAAAAGTTAAAATAAGACAAGAACACAAGACTGCTGCCAAATCCCACATGAAAGTGTATAAAAAATAAAATTTAAAGTATAAATAATATAAGCCATGGTCAGCTTCAACCTGCCGACATGAAGTAACAGTATTTTTAACTTTAGAAAAAAATTTCAAGGGTTTAAAGGCCTACAATTTACGATAAAAAAAAATCAGTAGACAAAGGCAAGCGAATTGTTCTCTGAATCAAACGATCTGCTTTTAAAGTTACTTTTCAATTTAACAAACAAGAATTAATACCTTCTTAGCTTAAAGAACTTGCTTTTAAGTTTCCAAACTTTTACAAAAAAAATTATGAAATTAGAGCTTTATCTCTTCAGCGGTTTCAAAGCTTTCACTATAAAACCTTCCTCGTTCAAAAATACAAATTTATTTTGCGACCTTTTAACAAATTGAATAGTTTTGGGTCAAAATTAACTGCTCATATACTTTTGCTACAGTGTAGCAGTTTACGTATTTCTGGTTACAGAAGTGGTGAACACTGAGGTGCTAGATAATCAATGCTATTTTTTTCTCTTTTTTTTTGCCTTTGCGAACAAAGTGAGAAAAAATAGAACGTAATAAATTAACTGTTAATTAGTTTTCAGCTAGGAAAATTTTATAGAAATGAAAATATACAATGTCACACAAATTGGATGACATTTATTACCTTTTTCTGATTTCAGCATGACAACTAAGGTATTTGGTATTATGGAGTGTTACCTTAAAAGTGCTGCAATGTTGAAAATACAAAAAATTAATTTGAATTAAGAAACACAATAATCTGTTGTCTGCAACTGATTTCGATGTTGCACACAGCAATATAGGTGGTTGATGCTGACTCGTTATACGCTACCGTTACATAAATTCTCTGTTTTGCAGTTTTACCTGTCCTTTCGTTACTCATCATTTCGTAGACTGGATGTTTTTACTACAACATCAGGTTACTACTAACGAAATTTTTTTGCCCTTTTTGCTTTCGAAAACATTGATTGGAATCAAGTGGGAAAGAGGGACTTAGCGCTCAGAGGTTGGTACTAAAAATCTAGATATTTGTGGAACATATATAGTTCTATCATTATGTATTAACTATCTCTTTCATCCAAATGTGGATACACAGTGATTAACTCTAGATTCCTTTCTAATCAAATACAGTTTGTTATACTTATCATTCATCTTTCACCTGTGCATATAATACACATTAAACTGGGTCTGCGAGTGCCATTAAGTTTTCAATATTATTACTTATCTGTAAATCAAGAAACCTGATTTCGACGTAATTCACACAACACTTGCTAGCAACTTTTTTGAATTTGATTTTATTACCTATGTGTACTGATGGAAAAGATGCTGTAGTATCAAAATATGAACTGAAATAAGAAGACAATGCAAAAATGTACATTGAGTATGATATATTAAACAGAAAAGTTTAAACGACCTAGTTTTGAAAGACTCTACAATTCAAAAGTGATGTACTACACAACACAGAAGTAATTTTGCCTTGTAAGCTCTCTTGATCAAGTACCATCACGACTCTGCTATTTCGTGATTAAAATTGGTTTTTTTAACGTAATCAGCTAACTTTGCATTTAAAGCAAGCAGTCTGAGTAAGTGTTTATAAAAAAAATGAATTTCTTGTAGCCTATTACTGCAGCTACCAGGGTTTGCTCAAATCCAGCTTAAGAAAGTTTATTCCCATTTTTAAAAAAATACGAGTAAGTTAAAATAGGTCTAACTTATTGAACTGACGTAACAGTGGCCTTCATCTTTCTTTTAAACAATCATTCATCTTTATTTTTACTACAATCTTAAGCGTTGTTTACTTTTTCTTCACACTTATTCATCTCTATCATCTATATAAATTAGAACTTCATTAAGTTCAAGTACTCGGCATCTGATTTTTTAACAACTTGCCTAACGGTCAATTAGAACAGAGGTATTTTAAAATGTCACAAGTGTGAACGCGCTGTCCTCGTTCTAACTAAAGCTTCTTGAGCTGTTGAACAGATCAGATGTCCATCCCGCGTCCAAAATGAACCCTCAGCGAAAGATCGCCCCTGATCTACAAAAGCAACCTTGTTCAAATAAAATGCACTGGAAAGAATATTGAAGAAAAGGAACTGAAGAGTTTACCGGCTACAATAGATTTGTTTTCATACAGCATCCACTCATCAGAACGGAAGTCGTCTCTGTGAAGCCAAACAGAGTGGTCCAGCGAAGTAAACTGTGATGGTATAAAGCCACGACTGGAAACACCTTTTCTGTTGATTTGATTAGAGAAACCAGTGCTGATGACGAGAAAAACTGTGATATTTAGAAGAAAATAAAAAAATTTTGAGGGTGGGATAAGTGATCTCTTATATTCTTTTTTGTCCTTACTTGTACTAAAGTTTAAAATAAAAAAAGACTTAAAACTAGCTAAGAATGCCCGAGAAAGTATCAATATCTCAAAGCGCCTTAGTTTACTGAATAAAAGCGACAACTGAAGAGTATTGACAAAGCTGGCATGAAAAGGTAACTGATCCTGCGAAAGAAGTAAGTAAGTGAAGTAAGTAGAGAAGAATGATACAGCAACATAGTCAAGACTTTAAATTTGTAAAATTAGCTTCAGATAAACCTCTGGTGATATCGAACTGGCGTCACACAGATGGTAGAGTCTGTGTTGTAGAGAAGCATTAGTCTGTGTATCTTCGGATCATCGCTCAGTTTTTGTCGCGATCGGAACCAGACATACGACGTTTTGTCGCACAAAGCATATCCTAAGAACTGCTCGACAGATGTCGGTCTAACCTGGATGAGGCGTATTAATTTTGTCCTAGTCTTTAGTTTCTCCACCAAAGACTTTTATTATTTCCCTAATTATGGTACAAAAATAAGCAAACCTCGAACAGCTGCCACTGAGCCATTAAGCGATCTTCCACAAATGGAACTTTTGATTGCTTATCCAATTTACCATTTGGAGTGGAATATTTACGCAACAAATTTTCAATACCCTCGTGCAACTCTGTGCACTCCTCTGGTTCCGGAACTTTTGGCATTTCTATTTGGTGTTTAATTGCTGGTTTTTCATTCTATAATCTAAACTCTATTAATATCTTAAATTCTTTTTGAGTTCATATATTTATGCAGAAAAATGTATTAGTTACTTTGTGAAAAGAAATTTGACAGGATTTTACAATTTCTCCTTTCTGTTCAGCATGAACGGTTCTGGCCGAAAAACTACGGCCATTACGAATAGTTAATACACGATAATTTATTGGTTCATCGGGTACAGCTAAAATTAACAAGGTTACAGAAAGTAGTGACAAAAATGTTTTTTCTTTCAAGTTTTTGCAAAGTAGGAAGTTTATTTTACCGGAAAGAAGAAAATGTGAGTGAACGGAGTGCATTTTCATATCAGTGGATACAGTTTGTTCAGCTGCTGCAACACTCTGCGCAAGAAGCAGTCCTCCGTATACTACGTTTGACATAATAGTGTTGGCTATCAGTTTTTTGGAACTAAACATGTACTGCTGCATTTCTTGAATTCTTCGCAAGATGTTTTTTTTTTTTTACATTTGCTGTGCGATACGACTTGTCAAATAACATCAGTCAATTTTTCAGTGTTATCCCAAAAGGACTGTGTCGAACTTGGAATAATAAAGAGAAAGATGATTTACTACTTTCAATATCTATAAAAGCAGTAAGCAAGGAAGAATTACCGAAATAGGGTGTCTTCAAGTCTTTCCAAGTCAAAATAGTCGAGCTCGGTTCTTTGTTCGTGTATATCGATCGTCTCCATCGCCTGTGTCATTGAGCCAGTGAAAATTAAATCTGCACGCTGAATCTATTTGTCTTTCTAACCTGACGACACTTTAATTGTTTCTATTGCAAAATCCTGAAACATCTAATTAGCCTTAGAGTTATGGAAAGTAACACTTTTCTAATAGATGCGACAAAGTTCTCCCAAAAGATAACCAGTTTCACAACACCTTGTTCCTGAGAATTTCTTTATGCTCGCATTAATTTATGGCCTGTGTGGCCAAAAGAAAACTTTTTTAACTTCTAAATTACTTTTGTAGAAAATACTGTGCACAACTATTATCTTTTTCTGCTATCAGTTATTTCACTCACTGCTAATGAATTGATTGTTCCTCCAATTTGATCGCAGCACGGTCATGCATTTGGTTGCGTCTAGACCATTGATTTAAAAGGTCAATTATGGATGTGCTGAATTAGAACGAAAAAAATACTGAAAATTCTACGAATTAGGCCTCAAATATACTTTTGTTTTTCAACGTCATTTCTGTTTTTAGCTGTTCTCTTAGATTTTATATATTTTAGCAAAACTAATTATTGGTAACTTGATACATATATACTCAAGTTTGCTGCTCTTTAGTAGGTGTTAAAAATTTTAATTGTGATCTTTAGTGCATAGCGATTGGGCTGTCTTTGTTTTCAATTCTTTTGAAAAAAAAAGTTTTATAATGAACTTATAATTGCTGAAATTTGTAGGCTATGTGTCACTGGTTTTTGCTACGATTTTCAGTGCAAGCATAAAATCTATTATTAAGCTTGCATGACAAACACTTTCAAGAAGAATGTTAAAATTTGTTCTTTTTACCTTCTAATTTTTTTGCGAAAAAAAGTTTGAACCCAAATGATGGTATTTATTTTAGATTGTCAGTTAATACACTTTTAATTTTTTGTTATAAGTACACCGATTGATAGCAGTTTCTCTTTATTGCCGTTATAATTTTATTCTTGGAGTCGTGCCTAGTCTAACAGATGGATAAAGTGATATAATAGCAAAACCATTCAAATAACTTTTAGGATGACAATAGACACTTTTTCATAAGCAAAGTAGAATATTGATTTCTTGAAATGTTCTTGTCGATAACTTCTGACAGTGACAAGCACACTTTCTTAGAAGTAACGCCTCCTGTCTTCAAAGCTTAAGCTGTTGTAAAGTGCATAACGTTGACTGTCTGCTTGACGCTCCGACAATGACATGTCATTGTCGATGGCGTTCATTTGTTCTTGGACACTTATTACGTTTTGTGATGCACCTGCAAGTGGTCAAAAGTTATCTATAGTAGCACAATTATTTATATAATCAAATTACAATCTTAAGCGAAAAAGCTGTGCAGAGTAAGACACGTCAAAAGTTAATCAAAATTGAGACAATTTTGATTAAAATGTCAATGAAAAGAAATCACTTTTTTCTATTAAACTACATTTGTTTTTACAGAAATGAGTAATTAATCTGTTTTTAAACTAGAGTTTAAGGCTTTGGCATGCTGTTTTCCACTAAACTGTTATAAGATGATGACTAAGCGAACTTTTTCAACCACTATTTTAAAGTTTTATTCTTTAGATTTAGTACAATTTTACACTTTTTAATGTTTCATCTTAATTTATTCAATACCAAATAAAATCCTGACACAATCTTTTCTCTCTTTTTTTATCAATAGAATCTTTAGAAAAAATTAGTCTTACCAGGATTATATCAACTTAATTTCTCTGACGATCTTAAATCTATCAAAATTATTCGATGTTTTATGAAATAAAAACTACCGTTGTTTCTTAGCCATTGTAATCGAGATTGTTGTCTTTGGGTCTTTCTGGCCTGCGCAGCTTGAAGTGATGATCGGTACGCTTGCTAAATTGAGAAAATATCGTAAGGCTCCAAACAGAGCTTAATTTTAAATAAGCTAAATCTCAAATTAGAGATTTTTTTAAGGAGAGCCAGAAAATAAGTGATTACATAATTATCCTTACTAGCAAAATTTTAGTTTTTTATTTCTACGAACCTGGATATATGCTGGTTGCTGCTGTACAAGAGCTTCGACATCAGCAAGAATTTGTGAACGAGGTCTGTATTTGTCGTCGTCTAACCTGTCTAGTCGTTCCTCGTCCCAGTCATTATGCAACAGGTCATCCAAAACATCAATTTCTAGCAAATCGCTAGCGAATGCGACGCTGACCAAGAACAGAAGTAAAAACTTCATTACCTTAAATTTTTTCACATAAAATAACTTGGTCTGCTACATAAACTTGTTTCTTTTCGTAGATAAAAAGACAGCTAAAAATAATTGCCGCTATCTTTTACAGGTTATGACAACAAATTTCCGAAGCAAAAACAAGAAAACTAAAAAAGTTTTGCCCACATTAGCTACTGTTTTGATTTACCATACATCAAACGATGAAAAACTGTATTCAGAACTTAGCATTAGTCAAAACCTAAAAATTTTCTGATTAGGCCAAGAACAAATCAGAGGATCATTAATTGAAAATGACTGCATCTTCTGCTGCCTGAGATACAGACAATTCAAGAAGCTACTTTACATACAAGGAAATACAGTGATTTCACAGATACAAGCGCAAAAGTAAAAAAATTTGAAAACATGCATTTGTTTTGTCAAAGAAATGACTTACAATTATTTAACTTCCCGAAATCAGTTAGTTTTAGGAGCAAAAAAAGAATATATCGCATACTTTAAGTACTTTTTTAAGTGACTGAAAAGTAAGCAAAAAAACTTTTTTAGTGCAAAATTTGAGAAGTAAAAGTTGTTTAACATTTATTCAATAAGAAGGGTTCTGATTTATGCTTAGAAATGTTTACAGAAATGACAAAGCAAGTAAATTTGATTGTGAAAAAGTAAACAGTCGTGGAACAGTTAAGAAATGTAGAAAAAAAGCTTACTGATAGTAGTTGCACTAGATCAGTTTGACAAGTAACTTGCATAAGTAAATGTTCATGTATAAGAGAAACGTTAATTTTTATAAACGACCTCTTAACAGTTCCTCCTTTTTACTTTAGTCTGCTTCAGTGAAAATCTGCTTCGGCAAATCACAGAAGTGCTGTTTATTACAAACAAACATTTATGAGAGAAGAAAAATCGGGTTTTGATTCGTTATTGAAAATGAAAGCAAATGAAGGCGCAAAACAGATTCTGTTCTTGAAATTCTAGGAATTTCTACTGGTTTTCTATACCAGACAACATAGACTGTTTACTGAAACTGAAAAAGATGGAATGAGTAATCATTTTTAAGTTAAAATAAGATGGCTAAATACTTTAGCAAACTTTTGCAGTCTTTTTTCAACAAACAGTTTTAGTCTGAAAAATATTTTTTTTAAAACTTTTTTTTTTTGAAAGACCGGTTTATAAAACCATTAAGATATACAACAAGACGTTCAGAAATTTTGACGAATAAATTACAGTAGAACAGTAGTAATATCTGAAAAGTTAATTGCTAATTTATAGAATGTTTTTTTTTTTTCATTTTATAAATGCCTTGACTACAGTCTTTGAAGCGACAAAAAAACTGCAAATTTTATAAAACTGTTTAATCAGCAACTAAACTTATCTGAAAAACCTTTGAAGCTGTTCTATGCTACAAAAGCTCATTGAACAGTTTGCCAAAATGTAGGCTAGAAAGCTGTAAAATTATTCAGAAGTCATAAGACGAATCGTTGTATCAGTATGAGCAATCTTTGACTCTCTGTTGGTGACTAACTGCTTGAATTTGGTCACCTACAGAAAGAAGCAGTATTATTATTTTTGCAGATTTATAACTGTTAATAAACGATTAGTTCAATAAACTTTATTTTATTTTATCAAATTCGTTTTTTTTTTTTCGCATGTGTAGCAACAGCAATAATGACAGTAAAAATTGCGCTTTGAAGTTCAGAACTTTATCTGTTTTATTGATTTGACCATAGTAACAAATTAAGAGTTTATCTAGTTCACCATTAGATATTAGGTTTCTGCAACTCAAACAACAATTATTATTGTGAAAGTTTATTTTTTCTCTGTTTATTAATTGTTACATTATCTTTCTTTTAAAAGTACAAATGTAACAGATTTTTATTATTTAATGAAAAATAATAACATTGTTGAAAAATATAAAGATCAAATCTGTACATTTAGGAAATAGCTTACATTTACTGGAACTTAGACAATGAAGAAATAATAAGAGCAGTGATTAGACGACCTAGAAAAGATTTGTCAAAATATATTTTAGTTAATATCGCTCATTCTGCGATACTGTTATGCAGAGTCAGCAGTTGAATTATTTTGATGAATCAGTATGGCAAAAAAAAGTAGTTTATTTATCCAAAATTGTTTTAATAAGGACCAAATCTAGGTATATCGATTTTTGAAATTTTATATTTGGTTTCTTTGATCTAATTAGTTACTTTTTGAACAAATTTAGTGCTTCCATTTTCTTGCTTCCATTTTTTTGCTTCCATCTGCTTAAATCTTGAAAAAAATATACCTAACTCAACTTGAATCAAACTCATATCGTCGCTTTGGTTATGTACAGTCACAAAATTTCATCCTAACAAGCCAAAAAGTACGCGCTTTAAGAACAGTAATATGGCTCTAACTTTGAAACTTATGCTGGTAATAAACTTATAAGCACTTTGAAATGTTCTACCTTAAATCTTATCACTAGAGCAGTTAACCATAAATCTTTCTAGTTTTTTTCTTTAGCTTTTATCTCTTTGTACTAAATAAAGCGTATTTTTTCAACGAAGTTGCACAGCTTTTTCAATTTTATTTAACAATGTACTTTCTCTGAGTTCAATCTTTATCAGTGAGAAAAATAAATTATGCATCACTTTCGTTGTTGAATAATCAAAAGTTACTTTTTCAAATTTCATTTTTAAACTTTAATTTTTTTAACAGCTAATCATTGAAGTTGCTACACTATAAGGTAAATTAAAAACATAACTAAAACCTTTTTATTTGCATGAATGCTGTTTCTGTAAGTTTTCAAAAAATTTTTTTATTTTTGAACTGCTGGCCTCAGTTTTATTTCTAGACGATTCTTCTAAGTTGCGTATACAGGATTACAACAAGATCACAGTTTTTGAGGTTCTTTATTTTGCTTTTAAACACATCGGGGCTTTTTTCTGACTGACCTTCGGAAAACTGTATTTTGGAAAAATTTATTTCAGTTAACATTTGAGGATTATTTTAACTAATCAACAGGTTCACTGCTCGTTGGAGATAATTGATCATTCTTATCAACAGATGATGCGATATGATAAAAAATGCAGCTATTAAAATAATAAGCCGAAATTTTGGTTTTTAGAATCTGTAAAAATGATTTGCTAGTTTTATGTTTTAATTCGACAACTATCAGATTCTGAATAACCATTTCAGGTCTCTTTTAGACAAGCTGCAACTATTAATTCTTCAAGTTTTATTCATATATATCTTTTTGAAAGCATTTACCAAAGCTAACAGTGGTAAGATGAAAATAGAACTTGAAGCTCTAAATTTGCTTCGTTGGTGTTTCTTCACTAGTGTACTTTCGACAAATTCTTTTGCACATACCTCGCTCGTTCGGCTTCAACTCTTGTTCGATATAGTTGCTAAATTGTTTATTTGCTGTACAAAGTATCAAGCAATGCTTATAACTCTATACTTTTTACAAAAACCTTGCATTTTTGGTTTTTGGTTCTTTCTTCAGTAAACAACGTTTAAACATTCAGTAAACAATAATTTCTGTTACTTCATAAAAAACGCAGTTAAACGTATATTCTTCACTTAAAAAAATTGATAACAGGTTTGTTTCTGAACAAATAATACAAGACTGTTGTGATTCCAATAATAAAAGAAGTATAGCTTTTGATTTATCCTAAATAAAAGCTCAACTTAGAATTATAATTTTAGAAAAAAATACGTAAACTGTATCTTCTTACCTGAATGTACTGCGGTTGTCGTTGCACGATAGCTTCAACCTGTGCTAAAACTTGAGAGGTAGGACCATTTTTGCCGTCGTCTAGGTAATCCAACAACTTCTCGTCATATGAATTATGCAGCAAATCATGTAGCACTTCAATTTCAGGAAGTTTATCGCCAACCACAACGCTGATAACAATGAACAGCAAAAGGTTCATTATCTGAAATTTCTTTAACGACTGAAACACATTCAAATGTTTATCTTGATAAGTTGGTTCGAAGCCAGTTTTTAACTTTATTTTTGATAAATTATTTTATTTTGGATAAAGTCGTAAGGTAAAAAAAAAGACCTTTGTACGTCTACAGAATTTCTTTGTTAATAAAAAGAATAAAGTGTAAGATTTCAGTTAAAAAAAATTGTAAATTTTTAAACTGAAAAATAGCTACAAGTAATAAAACAGGCAGCTTAATTCAATGCTTACAGAAAAGTTACTTCAAAGAAACAGTTAGCTAAGATGCAAGTAGTTAGAACTAGCTGATTAATAAAGTGAAGAAAGAGTAATAATTCTTCTTCATATTGGTGGTTTTTTGATAAGACGAAGTATTACTGAATACGCTTAATGTTCAATCGCATCGGTATCTGCTACAAGAATGAATTTGCTCAACTTGAACAGCTATTTCAATTTCTAAAACAGTTCCGGTTTTTGAAGCAAAATGCTGGAGTTCAAGAAAAAAATATGAAGAAAAAAACAAAATAAGTAAAACTAAGTAAATAATTGGAAGAAAGTTATGACGTATAAAAACAAAGCTGTTTCATAAAACTATCAGGTTGATTTTTGCAAAACTTAGTATGAAGTTTACTAACTGCAGCTTGACTGGTGCACAATTATAAAGTATTTTGGGAAGTATCCAAGTGAAAAGTTTTGTTTCTTCGACAAGTTATAAGCAAAATTTTTTCGCAGCATTTTCCGTTATTATTTAGAAAACAAGAATAATTTTTAAAGATTCTATATTGATACCGAATACATCTTACCTAAACCACAATTTGTTAAAGTATTTATTTCATTTAAAAGATGCTCAAAAATTGAATAAATCAAGTTTCTGTGATTTAGATGAAATCAGAAGCATTTTGAATAAAGCATTCTTGTGCTTTCACTGACAGGTTACAGATCCAAAAGCGCATGCTGATAACCCAACCTTTCTCAAAAAAAATTATTTTGTTGCAATC